TTTTTGCTGCAGTGCCCGGGGAGCAGTTGGGGGTTTGGTTTTGGGGGCCTTGCTCAAGGGCACCTCAGTCGTGGTATTGAAGGTGGGAGAGAGCGCTGTACATTCACTCCCCCCACCTACAATCCCTTCCGGTACGAGACTCGAACCCGCAACCTTTGGGTTACGAGGCCGACTCTCTAACCATTAGGCCACGACTTCCCCCAAGAAGATGGAGACATCCAGCATGGTGTTCCGCAAAGGGAGACCAGCGAGGCCCAGAGAGAGAGGCACGGGCTGAGTTAGGTAAGGAGAGATCCTGTGTGTTTCGTTGCTGAAGCGAAAATACTTTGTTTGGCCTTCTAAAAGAGGACACGACTAGAAATCAGTGGTTAAGCTGTTCCAGAACAGTTCAACCAAAAATTCAGATGTGTGCAGTGCATTTTATGGAGGACTGTTTCCTGATCCTGGTAGAGTAGACTACAATGCCGGCTGTTCTGACTCACAGCCTGTAAGTACGTTTTCATATTTAAAGGATTTGCCACTGATAATTCAAACGCAAGTTTTGAGCATCGTTTCTGTCGTTTCTCCGATCACAAATGCAGACATGGTTTTATGTTTACGCGGCACGATGCAATGCAACGCGTAAAAAGACAGTATAAGTCATTATAATCTGTAATTATGTCCCCACTGGATGCAACCAATGCCTCGTTTATAATGGGTTTTATTGGTTTTGTCTCGTCGCTCCGGGACAAGGCATCACAATATGGTAAGGGGTGTAACATTTCCGTCACACGCTTGAGGTATTCGGCCAATCACAGCACACCTTGCTTTTCAGACCAATGAGCTTTGTAAAAATCTACGCGTTTCAGAAAGGCGGGGCATAGAGGAGAAACAATAATGTACAGTATGTGGAAAATAATAATAATTTATGCTTAAACCGCATAAATACATTTCATTACACCAAATAATGTTCTTTTTAGCAACATCATATGACCCCTTTAAAATAACTGTTTTTATATGAATATATTTTAAATTGTAATTTATTCCTGTGATGCAAAGCTGAAATTTCAGTATCATATCTCCAGTCTTCATCGTCACATGATCCTTCAGAAATCATTCTAATATGCTGATTTGGAAATTGATACAATTTTTCAGGATTTTTTGATGAATAGAACAGCGTTTATTTGAAATAGAAATCTTTTGTAACATTATAAATGTCTTTACTGTCACGTTCGATCAATTTAATGCATCCTTGCTGAATAAAAGTATTAATTTCTTTCAAAAAATCAGACCGAAATCAAACTTTTGAGTGCTAGTGTACAATGAATTAGAGGTAATATCTACAGAGAATATCACAGACCTGGATAAGAAATTAGCCAAAACATCTTAGCGAATGTTTTTCACCTCTTGTGAAATGTGTGTGTGTTTGTGTGTTGGTAGGTGATATCGGAGGACAGATGGGGCTGTTCATTGGAGCCAGCGTTCTTACGATTTTGGAGCTTTTTGACTACCTTTATGAGGTAAGATATACAACGTATCTGTATGGCTGTTTTGTCATAAACATTTCTGCTGGGATTTGTGTGGTGACATTTTTATAGTTTACCAAAGGAATATTTTAAATTCTGTTACCCTCATGATATTCATGACGACCCAAATTACTTTCTTTTTATCTGTGGAACAGAGATTTTTCTGCAGAAATTTGCTATTCACCAAAAATCTCTTGCTACATTATCCATTGCAATATGTCAAGCTTAAATACACTACCATTCAAATGTTTGGGGTCAATAAGAGTTGTTTTTAAAAGAAAGTAATACTTTTAATTAGCAATGATGTATTAAATTGACCGAAAGTGACAGTAAAGATCTTTATAATGTCTTTCTATTGATCAAAGAATCCTGAAAAAATGGTTGTTTACAATAATAGGAGGCAGCACAAGAGTTTTCAACATTGATAATAATCAGAAATGTTTCTTGAGTCGCAAATCAGCATATTAGAATGATTTCTGAAGGATCATGTGACACTGAAGACTGGAGTAATGATCCTGAAAATGCAGCTTTGCATCACAGGAATATATTACATTTTAAAATATATTAAAAGCAAAAGCAGTTATTTTAATTTGAAATAATATTTCACAATATTAGTGTTTTTACTGTATCAAATAAATGCAGCTTTGGTGAGCAGAAGAGTCTTCTTTCAAAAACATTTTAAATATCTCACCAACCTCAAACTTTGAAATGGTAGTGTATGCAAAATGAAAGAAATCCTGAAGATTTAAAAGAGTAATGACAGCCCTAGTAAAAAGTAATATTTATTTAAAATACAATACATTTCATACTAAGTATAGTTCAAATCTATTAACATATTTACTGACGTATATCACTCAAGACTTACTGATAGAAAAATTATAATTAAACTCTATTTGGAGTACTACTTGTGCACAAAGCACAGTTTTTAATATTAAGCCTGAAATGTGTTTTAATGTCACTATTGATGAGGACTGTATGATCTTTGAATAATATCGGTCTTTAAATAGAAGAAATGTCAAGTTTACCTGAAGTATACTCGCAATAGTTCCACTTAGCACAGTCAAATATACTTCAGTGTATCTTTAGTTGGACTTCAGCACTACTTCCGCACAATTAAAGTTCAGTAAGCACAAAATTAGTGCTTCCAATTTAGCAGACTTTAAGTATACCAGTTTAGTATCCCAAAAGTAAAACTGCAGGGTATTTTTATTAGTATACTTAGCATGAAATAAATGTTTTTCAGATAAATTTTACTATGTTTATTTTTCACTAGGGAGAACTTTCATTTTGGAGTGAACTAACCCTTCAAAGACAACGTCACAACATCTTTTTGTCTTTCTTTTTGTCTGTCAAGGTAATGAAACACAGGTTGTGCCGCTGCTCCGACAAGAAACATCACAACAACAACAACACTGATCACGGCACTGTACTCGGCCTGGATGATGTCAAATGTCACGTCAGTAAATTCCATTAACATTCCCGCAGAAATTCCAGCTGTTCATGTTCTACATTTTAGCAGATGGCATCACAACACCAGCACGGTTGTGTTTTCTACGGATTGTTCTGGCATCTTGTGGTTGTACTCTCTCTCTCTCTCTCTCTCTCTCTATTATGCCTGTGTGATTTTCTAGGATTTTTCCAAAAATGTTTTGTGGTTAACTGAACAAGCTGCTTTTGATTATGTCTGTATAGGGCAGGAATGTCAAAAAAGTTTAATATTAATTAAATGGTTCGATCTCTGTGTGCCTGGCCTTTTGTGACAGAATTGCGTCCGCTAGCTTGAGGGGTTACTGTATGTGTCATATTTTGTTGATTCTGTGCATCTTAATGGCTATTATATGGCTGTAAATGCATTGTGACAGGCGATTCATTGCACAAGGGAACACCATTACATGAGGGAACACCAGTCTAAAAGGAATACTTCACCCAAAAATTAACATTTGCACGAAATTCACTCACCCTCAGGAGTTTTTCTTCATCAGAACAGATTTGGAAATATTTAGCATCACATCATCTGCTCACCAATGGATCCTCTGCAGTGAATGGGTGCCGTCAGAATGAGAGGCCAAACAGCTGATAAAAACTTAGCATCACATCATCTGCTCACCAATGGATCCTCTGCAGTGAATGGGTGCCGTCAGAATGAGAGTCCAAACAGCTGATAAAAACATCACAGTAATCCACAAGCAGTCCACACCACTCCAGTCCATCGGTTAATGTCTTGTGAAGTGAAAAGCTGTGTGTTTGTATGAAACCAATCCATCATGAAGATGGATTTTTATCAGCTGTTTTGACGGCACCCATTCACTCCAGAGGATCCATTGGTGAGCAAGTGATGTAATGCTACATTTCTTCAAATCTGATCCCATGAAAAAACAAACTCATCTACATGTTGGATGGCCTGAGGGTGACTACATTTTCAGCTCATTTTTGGGTGAACTGTTTCTTGAAGGCTTGTGGGTGCTACATGATGTGAGCATGATAACACCGGCCCATGTCACTAACCCTAGATATTCCCAGGGGTGCATGTGAGCTCTCTTAAGGCTTCTGTCCGCAGTGTCATGTTTGTTTCGGGAGCTGGGATGCGTGTGCATGTCTGTATATGTGTCTGTTAACGTTGTGTGCCATTGGTGTGTGTGCGTGCAAGCTTGACTGCAAGTGCATGGATGTGTTTGTCAGTTTGTAAGTGTGTCTTTGTGCATGTATATATTACATGTGATCATTTCTGGAATGGATGAGGAAAAGTTGGAGCAACAGAGTGACCCATATTTTTAAACAGGAAAGGAAGTAGTCTGATGCATTAGAAAGGTGTGTCAAATGCCAGCAGATAGTACGCAGTTATTTGTTGTGGACTATTGTAGTTTATGAATATTTTTTCATGTCAGATTTAGATTTTAGACACAATATTTATCTCATATACAGCAGATTCTGGTCTGGTTTCTTTTCAGAAAACCATGCAATCAATTATCAGTATTTCCTACAAAATCAGGATTGTCAAATATCAGCAGTATTAATATGTAAATCAAACTTTTTCAACTGATACATTTCTGTATTATTTTGATGTTTATCATGTGGCTGTAATAAAAATTTTTTTTTTTTTTATGAATAATCATGAATAAAATGATGTCTTGCTTACCTGCCTGCCTGCCTGGAATATTTCTGTGCGTGTCTGTACAACTTAAGATGTAATTTTGGGCCAATTTGTTGCCTTGGCAACTGAAATAAGTTTAAGTATTAAAATAACTAAAACTGAAACAAATTAAAGACAAATATTTCTACAAAATGTCTAAAACTTGAACTAAAATTGAAATGAAAAATAAAACATATCAAATAAAAGTTAATTAATATTTTGAATTATGTAAAAACAATTAAAATATGAATTAATACTAAATAAATAATTCTAAAATAACACAAAGGTTATACAGTGGGTACGGAAAGTATTCAGACCCCCTTCAATTTTTCACTCTTTGTTATATTGCAGCCATTTGCTAAAATCATTTAAGTTAATTTTTTTTCCTCATTAATGTACACACAGCACCCCATATTGACAGAAAAACACAGAATCGTTGACATTTTTGCAGATTTATTAAAAAAGAAAAACTGAAATATCACATGGTCCTAAGTATTCAGACCCTTTGCTCAGTATTTAGTAGAAGCACCCTTTTGATCTAATACAGCCATGAGTCTTTTTGGGAAAGATGCAACAAGTTTTTCACACCTGGATTTAGTGAAAAATTTAAGGGGGTCTGAATACTTTCTGTACCCACTGTAACTCTCAAAAAAAATCCATAAGCTCTTTTTGAATTGAGGAATTCCTGTCCTGAGCCAACATCGGTTCTCATGGAACTTTGACCTTTGGCCCCAGAGATCTGTTCTGGTATTCCATTTATTCCTTAACAGGGGATTCTATTGTTCAAAGGGCATTTTGCCATCTTAAGCCACTCAGTTCCTTTGTTAAATTCCTATTCTAATGAATCAGTTGATCTTTTACTTCCACGTGTGGCTGAATCTCACAAAAATGTCTCACATTTCAATCAAAAGTTAAAAAAAGAAGAAATTATATTTTGCATAAAGCATGTTTGTTGGACCAGTACAATGCATCACAATTCCCGTTCGTGACAGGTTTGCGTGTCTACTTTATACTTCCCATCTCACTTTATAACTTATTGATTCTCGTGCTAAAAATAGTTTTTAAGCTTGACAATCAGTCCTTAAAGGTGGGGTAAGCGATTTCTGGTAGCCAATGTTGACATTTGAAATCACCAAAAC